CTGTTTTATTTTATTTTGAAAGATATCGTTTTGTCTCAAAATGAACTCCTTTTTTTCTTTCTTTTGGCATGTCTCCAAATATATATTTATTTGCAAGTCTCCAAATATTTTTATGTTTCCTTTTAAGAAAAACGGAAAAAGTATGAAGTTCTCACTGATATTCATTTTGACATGGGCGGATTTAGGGGAGGGCCAATCTTGGTCTGGCCCACTACAAAATCTAAAAAATGTTTTAACTTTTAAGGTTTTCGAGTAAAATAGTTTTCAAAAATATTCTTTGTATCGATCCCGTTCGTATACCGTGGGATCATCATATCCCACAGTGAGTATCATGCTCCACGTCCAAGATGATGTAATTTTAATCAATTTAAAAAAATCGTGGGAACAGTACACGCGCGTACAATACTTCTTTTTTATTTTTGTCTTGTTCCAGTAATATAACAGAATGATGTAACTCACGTGTAAGGAAATGTAACTCACGTCACTACTACATTTTTAGATCTAATGTAACATTAGAGATGTAACATATCTATAATAGTGTTACCTATTTCTCTAATGTAACACTTTTTAGACCTAGTGTAACACTTTCTAGAAGTATAAGTGTTACATTAGGTACTATAAAGTGTTACAATAGGTCAAATGCAACACCAGCAAATGTAATGGTAAGAAAATGTTACATTTTCTCTATTGTAACACTTTTCAGAGAAAATGTAACATTGTTTTACCATTACATTTGCTGGTGTTGCATTTGACCTATTCTAACACTTTATAGTACCTAATGTAACACTTTTACTTCTAGAAAGTGTTACACTAGGTCTAAAAAGTGTTACATTAGAGAAATAGGTAACACTATTATAGATATGTTACATCATTAATGTTACATTAGGCCTAAAAATGTAGTAGTGCATTATTGATGAATGTAACTCAAGTCTAGTTGAAATGTAACTTATCCAATACATAATATAAGAAATAAATTATTGATTTCAATGGGGAAAATGAGTCTAATTGCCTAATTATTATACATAAATAGTGTATATGTTTTGTTTTTAACATCAGGGCTATAAAAATGATTTTTTTATAAAAATAATTGTTATTTAAATAGTTGAGGCTTATTGGGTTGTGTAACTCGCACTATATTGTGATGTAACACGCGTTTTGGAAAATTTAAATCAAATGTAAACAAGATGTAACTCGCTAAGAAAAGTCAACATGTAATTCATGGTATAAGATACTTCCTCCGTCCCTTAAAGGTTTGCCAAGTTTGACCGGCACATAAAATAATAAAGTAAAAACTGTGTGGTAGATATTTGTGCAGAGGAGAGAGAAATGACAGGAGCCACAAATTGATTGATTAAAATGGAAAGTGGCAAAGTTTTTGAGACAACCAAAAAAGGAAAGTTGACAAAGTTATAAGGGACGGAGGGAGTATGTAACTTTAGGCAAATTCTGATGTAACTGCATGTATTTTCAAATGTCAGTTGAGTCCAAATCAAAATATAAGCAAAGAAATGTAACTTAGCACAAATATAATCAAAGTAAGTCCTTGGAGAGACAATAATTTGGATGGGTAATGACTTTCCTCAGATTTTGTCCCTTCAACTTGAATCAAAGAGATAAATTTAGACTTGGGGTATTGACTTTGTATATGGATTGAATCTACACATGGATAGATGGGAATCAAATGCGGAGTACCTAAGCCTACTATTTAATTTCGATTCAGCGCTCCCAGATGCACAACAATTACAGAGGAGGGAGGAAATATATTGTTTCGATGCAGAGCAGATGCACAACAGATAGGTATAGCAACTGACGAAGGAGATGAAGGGGTAGAGGAGACGAAGGAGATAAAATGTTTTGCAATTTTTAATATGAAATTGTACCATTTTGGGATCGGCACACCTTGCGCATGGTAGGCTTATCCTCCAGTATAATTTACCGTACTGATCGGTATGGCCCAATTCCTTGACTCTACCCCTGCATATCGATATAAGTGGTGTTTGGATAGCAGCGGATTAATCAAACCGCCATTGTTTTAATGAAGGAAAACGTTGGTATTTCCAGCGGATCGACTACAAACCGGCGATAAACAAACAACCCCATAGTTGTGTGATGTCTTATTGTGGAACTAATTAAAGAAAATTCAACTATAACCTCAAGCTACACATTGTTCGTATACATAATTAAAATTTTGCAATTGAATAATTTAAATATAATTAAATAAATGTATGATATGTATTATGTACTGAACCTGACTTCTGTTACGTGTATCAATTAATTAATGGTGACAACTTCGGTACCTTTCTAAAAAATAGGGTACCGTACCTATCCTTCATTTAATTGGATCATATCATTTTATCATTTTTAATTTAGATTTAAATAATTCAACTGCTACATTTTCATTGGTCCATGTGGACAAAGGTATGATACCTTATGGGTACCATAGAATCTACCTTAATTAATTAGTAGTAATTAACTTTGTTCATTAGGAGATAATTAGGACGGTAAACTACTAAGAAAGAAAAAAGAAAGAGAAAACAAAAAGAGAAAGAAAACGACTACCCTGAAAAATCTACCATAACTGCTCACGTCAGCCTGGTCACCCCCTCCACTCCCCCACGATAATCTCCCCCCGGCCCTACTTTCCATATCCTATAAATAAAACTAATAAACCCCCCCAAATCATTATGATATTTTAATTTAATATCGTTTATGCTCATCAAAATCAACAAATCCGCATATCCAAATATCCAGTCAATCAAGCTCCGCGATTGATCATCGATCAGTAAAGTACGTAATTAACAGCTTAATTACATCATTATATTCTATTCGATCTTCAGCAGCCATGTCGGCCAAACGTGCGGCAGCTTCCTCGTACCCAATCCTGCTGCTTCTCATCATCGGTGCGGCCGCAACCTGGTGCTCCGGCGCGGCGGCGTGCGACGAAATATACGTAGTCAAGGAAGGCGAATCGCTGCAGACCATCAGCGAGAAGTGTAATGACCCTTTTATCCTTGAAGAGAATACACAGATCAAGGATTTCGACGACGTTTTTCCAGGCCTCGTTCTCAAGATCAATTCCCCCCGCGCGGCGGTTCTCGACACGAGGCACATCGCCAGGAAGTTGCTGATTAATTATTAAGTGAAGTTTAATTAATTAATTTTTTCAGACCAGGGCTAATATGTATTAGTATTATTAATTACTACTCCCTCCGTCCCATAAAATTCTTCTCACTTTCCATTTTGGGATGTTCCAAAAATTTCTTCTCACTTACCATTTTTGGACAATTTGTGTGGTTCACGTTCATTTCACCTTTTTCTTTCACAACCAAAATCATACATTTCCACCTTCTTAATCTTCGTGTCAAGTCAAAGTGGGAAGAATTTTATGGGAGAGAGGTAGTATTATATTCCACGCGTTCGCTTACTTAATCATCTACATACATATGTTGTAACTAGTGTAAATTAAATTAGTTGTTCTCTAGAAAGAGTATTTCCGTGCTCTGATTTTGTACAAACTCTTCAAACACTTAGTTTGACTATTTGAGGTATAAAGTTTCCTGTTTAATTTTCTCACGTTTTTGTGCAGTATATTTTAAGCTTCTAGCTAGTTTTTCAGCGTATTTTGATTATAAGTTTGCCATACATGAAATCGGAATACTATCTATTTTGAAATCCCTCCGTCCTGCTAGAAGGTTCTACAACATATGTAACCTTCTAGCGGGACGGAGGGATTTCATAGTACTCCATATAAATATCTATTGCCAGTAAAATACATAGTACTCCATACCAAATTTCAGTTAAAAATTCAATTCTCAAGACAGTCAAATTAATGTTTGAAGATAACTGCGCAGTTAAACAGCACAGTATATTTCAGAAAATCATTTGAGTGCCTTTCCGGATGAATTTTTACCTGAAATTTGGTATGGGTAAAAATTCATAAAAAAAAACATTTGGATGCTAAAAACATTCATAAAAAAAATTCAACGGTAACCGCTCCAAATGGCGATGGCCAGACAGAATTTCCTATAAAATGGATGATTTTACACTTTTTCGGTTATTTGTACCTTTTTCCAAAGATACAGATATGCGTAATATATACATGCATGTATGTACATTAATTCAATGATTCAAGCATTAGGTCACGCGTTGCATGCATGTATGCAACCTAGCTAACAACTTAACCGATCTTGTATATATATTTCGGTCATTATTGAGTATACGGCATCAGTTCATCCTTACTAATTTGCTACTTTTGGATTTATATTTTTATTATTGTTCATGCATTCTACATTTGTTATTTGTGGGTTTATGTATAAAAATAACCATATTGCCATATTGGGTGAGAATTCATCAAATTTCTCATTCATAGTTTAGAGGAAATTGACTGGTGATTTCTAAAATATGGCTAATCAACTTTTTATTCTTAAATAAAATTAATGTAATTTTATTTGTATGGTATGTATTTCGATCCTCCTTTTTTTATCTCTTGAGCTCAATTACTACTTAACTCATAGAGTCATGGTAATTAAGTTTGTTAATGTAAAATTCCCTATATTTTACGACTAATATATTTGATTTACACTCCATATTTGAAATTTCAATAGTGTACACTAGATTTTTTACTATGTATAAAATCACGTGACTATATATAGTGAGAGTCCCTATATCATACATTCAGGTATATGTGCATTTATTGGAACAGAATGATACAAAATCAATATGTATACTATCTTTGTTCATATATATTTCAACATATTGTTTTTTACTCTAGTCACATGTTCTACTTTGACTATATTTTATTTATTAATGTATTAGACATTTTTTGAAAAGTGTTGTTCAATTCATCTCAATTTAAATTGCAGAAAATCTCATTTTTCGAATTTTTTACTTGCATCAAATACTAATAATCAAAGTACTGTGTTGGTAAATATGCGAATGGAAGTGTTTGTTACTAAAAAGAATGGAGAAAGTATATAAGACAAGCTTTTCAGAAACATAATGGATGTGTTCGGTATGCCAATTAAGCTAAAAAAAGGCTGAAATCTTTTAAATTCAGTCAGTTAGGATTAAAGTAGACCCGTTTGTTTGCAAGGCTGAAGCGGGCTTGCAAATTCTTTGATCGAGGCAGAGTTTGTTTTCCCCATCGCCGCGCAGCCCAAGTTCTTTGCTCGAGGCAGAGTTTCAGTTTCAGTGAAGGTATGTTATTTTTACCTCCACCCTTCATTCTGCAGTTCATTCTCCCCTTTTCTCCCGTCACCCTGAAAAATCCATTGCACCACCAAAATCTTATAAAATTAAAGGGCAACCTTTGGATATATAGTTATTGTACAGCTTGCGTAATAGCCTTTCTTTTCTATTAGCTATATTGACCACATTCAGAGAAGGGGGAAATCGTAAACGAAAAGAATGAACTACAAAAATATATGCCCAAGGAAGTCAAGTATGTGTTCTATGGTTGCTCGGTTCTAAATATGCTCCAAGTTCTTTACTGCTTTTTCCCTTACATGTTTCTTTTAAATATGCCCCAAGTTCTTTACTGCTTTTTATGCCAAGATGATGAGTCTACGAAGTGTTCATTTAAAATCCCAAGTTCTAGTTTTAAATATGCCCCAAGTTTCTATACAAGATAATACGCCTACGAAGTGTTCGATTAAAATCCTTAGTGAAATTGTGTTGTGATCTATTTGGAGTGTTTGAGCTGCTGCATCTCAGTTTTATTTTTCTAGACTCTTAACACTATTCTTTACTGCTTTTTCCTTAAGAAGACAGTCTTGAGACCTTAAGTTTGATGCAGGAGTATGGTTTCCTTTGCTAAAACTGACTGAAAAATAGTAAAAGAATAAAGGTAGATTGGTAGAATGTAGAACTTTTTTTTCTAGGCAAAACTTTAATTTATGGTTCTTCTGAATAGTGAAAACACTCCTCTCCTGCTGGAAGAGTTTTTCCCATATTTATTCTCACTTTTGTAACAGAATTTAATGCACAACGCTAAAGTTTTTGTCAAATTTATCCTGCAATCTCAACTTAAAGTTCTTTGAAATTCACACCGTTGTAATGAAAATATTTAATTTTTTTCATTTGCTATATTATTGGTTGAGCCTTTCAGATTTCATCTAAGAAAGATGAAGGGGGTTACTTTATGTGGTCAGATGAAACTGTTGCAATTTTTAATGAAATATGCATCCAATTCACTCTTAAGAATGGGAGGGGACAACAGTTTAGGTGGAAGGAGATGCAAGCTTTATTTGAGGAGAGAACAAAAAAGAAATGTTCTTTTAAAAGTTTGAAAAATAAGTTTGACTTTATGAAAAAAGATTGGCGATTGTGGAAGTCATTGAAACGTGATGAGACTGGATTGGGTTGGAATACGGCCATTGGGACGCTGGATTGTTTAGATGAGTGGTGGAGTAAAAAAATTAAGGTATGTATTTTAGTTAACTTATTACCTTAAATTGGGATTATTATAATATTTATTTTCAAGTAAGAATTTTCTCTTTAGGAAAAGGTTGAAGTAAAGAAGTTCAAGAATCAAGGAATTCCAAAGAACATTGAAGAGCAATGGGATCAAATATTTGGGGACTCTGTAGCAACTGGAGTTGAATGCGTGACTCCAACTGCTACAATTGTGGAGAACAACAATCAAGAAAATCATCAAGACACCGTCAACTTGGAGGATAACCGTGATCCTTATGAGGTGTATAAGAGTTACCATGACAAACTAGATCTCGGTGATTTTTTTCAAGACTTTGTGCAAGAGGCTAGTGGAAATGTTCCTTCTGTTACTACAGTTACCACTGGTGAAGATGCAAAGACCAGTGCCACTAGTAAGAAGCGCAAACTAAGGTGGTCTATGGGATCAGTGAAACTTAGTGAAAATTTAGAGAGGGGGAATACATGTCTTCAAGCAATTGAGCGTCTCTTGACAAAAACAGAAAAGGTTGTTGATGATTGTGCAAGTGTTGGTGATATCATGGAAATTATGACTAGAATGGCTAATAATGACGGGCTGGTGAGGGGTGGTGACTTATGGTTTCACAGCATTTGTATTCTGGAGAATCCTACTAGAAGACAATTCTTCATAAACTTTAAAGATGACGATGAAAGGCTCAACTGGTTGAAGTTTATGCACGCAAAAGAAATGTTTTAAATACCAAGTCATACATTTAGGATACAAATTTAATATTTTAGATTGCATATTTAATTTTAATTTTTATATGTTGAGACTTCAAATTGAAGTGATTTTAATTTTTATATGTTGAGACTTGAGATTGAAGTGATTTTAATTTTTATATATTGAGACTTGATATTGAAGTGACTTGTTTTCATTCATTTGTTTATTTATAGGAATATCATGAGTCATGATGAAGATGATGAGTGATAGACAATTTATAAGTCCTCGCAAGTGCACGAGTCACAGTAGTACAATGCTCAAGTAAGGGTCGAATCCACGGGGAAAATGAAACTAAGTAATTGGAAAACTATTAATAAAATAAATAAAAGTGAAATTAATCTAACTAAAAAAATGAATTTTGAATTTGTTTGATTGGAATCTGAAAATTAAAGATTGAATTAAAAGGGATGCAAGGAATTTAAATGAATGAAAATAAAGTGATTAAACAACTAACAGAAAAGTGATTGATAATTTAGCAAGAGAAAAGATAGTCCAGGATTATGAATCTGTCACTAATTTTTAGTATTTGTGATTTAGTTAATCAATTTAAATTGAGGGTTCGTTCTAGACAAAAATATGACTATTCCGTATGACGTCCAGAATAAGTCACGTATTTTAACTATTAATCAATTAGAAATTATTAATCCAATAGTTAAAATCCATTAGTCACAAAAGAACTACGGAAACCCGATTTAAGAACCAAATAGATAACCTAACAAGCAAGTTGAATTATCCATTCTTTTATCCAAAAGAGCTCTAACTAATAGGCATGGCATGTACTCTATTAATCCACTCAAACAACTTAATTCATCATATTAAAGTTGGCCAGAAATTAACATAATCAATTAAGCAAATAAGAACAATGGATAAAACTCAATCAATTGACATAACTAAAATCACAATTCATACTAAATCATAGCAACTTCATCATAATCCGGACTCAGAAAAATTAACTACTCATACTAACGTAAGACATTAATAAAACGAATGGGAACAAGGAGTTCATTTTCACCATCTAAACAAGCAACAATAAGCAATTGTGCCAAAACTAAAGCAATTAAACTAAAACAAGTTTGCAAATGAATTCATGTAAAGAAGTTTTGAACACTAGCTGAATAAAACCGGAACTTTTTCAGAGGAAGAATTTCTGAACTGAATTGCTGATTTTCAAGATCAATAAATCTCCTCCTCTGCATTCCACGGAACTCCAGACAGTCAGATTAGAAGCCTGCTGCGTCGTTGCCTTCTGTCCGGCTTCTTCCTCCTTTTCCAGCTTCGCCGCCAGAATCCTCCTTGGCGTAATGGATGGAGCCGACCCCAAAAATATAGCTGAGACCCCTAAACCCTCTCCAGCTTTTTTTTTTCTTGGACTTTTCTTTTCCTCCTCCTTGGATTTGGGTTGTTGTCCGTGACTCAAGAGAAGCAATCCTCTTTTTTTTAGTGAGCCCTTGGACTTTTTTAGGTCAACTTAGTGATCCATCATTTTATTTATCATCTTCTCAAGTTCAGCCCAAAATATCCTCAAATCTTTAAAATGAAATCCTTACCTGCAAAAATCATTTTTATTATAAAACATAACTCAAACCTCTCAATTAAGCAAATAATAAGCATAGAATTGTGATAAAATAATACAAAAATGAAGTACAAATTCCAGCTCATCAAACTCCCCCACACTTGGATTTTGCTTGTCCTCAAGGAAAATTAAAATCAAGAAACTAATTCACCAACAAATGTTCAAAATTCGCTTTCACTCACCAAGCATTCCAACAAACCCTTCCATGACAAGATATTCCCAAGAAATTAGAATCAAGTATCCACCACAATGTCAAACTAAAAAGTCAATCACCTAGACTCACATGTCATTAATAGAGATGTATTTTACAATTCTAAACGACCTAGTGAAATGCTCAAGTAACTTTCCAGAAATTATGTAAAGTTCTAAGCCAATCAATCAGCACTCTATAGTCATCTCATGCTATTCCTTCCACCTTATCAAAGCACAAACTTGATCAAGATTACTTAGGACTTTTATTGGGGTTGTAACGTGGCCATGGGGTAATGATTTAAAGAAAGAAAGGATGTGGGAATTCAAATAAAGGAGGAGACATTTCCTATACCAAACTGATCATAGGAAGAGTTCAATATATGACAAAGGGAGCAACTAAACTCTTACAACAATCAACCGGCTTCTAAGATAAAGAGATAGAAATATGGAGCTCAAAGAATACAACTTCAACTCACTTCTTCACTTTTCAACTTTCAGTTTTTTTTTTTTTTTGAACTTTTCTTTTTTTTTTCTTTTTTTTTTTTGCAGTTTCAAGTCAACTGACATCTCACAAGAATCAGCACCAACAACATTGAATCCATACAAAATGCCGGGAATAACAAAGAAAAATGCTCCCCAAAAGATAAACTCTTCCAAGTCACAATTTAAGTATAAGAAAATGTCAACTCAAGGGTGTGGGATACATTTTGGCTATCTGGGCTCGACGTCAACATTGTTGGGTAATTAGAAAGAATTATCAGTCAAAAGCATGGTAGAATGCTTTAAGACAAATTAGGCTCAAAGGGGGTAGCAAGCGGAAATAAAATGCAATGGGTAGGCTAAAAGGTTTGGGGCTATGAAAAATGGCCTAGATCACTTCTCAATCAGTTTGCACAATAACTCAGCTTCCAAAAGAGCGACGAGACAAGTTCTATCATGTTAGCTAAAAGACAAAGGACTCACACACCTCCCAAGAAAGTTAAAGATGCATCCTAAAAGGTCATAAAGAATTGAGAAATACATCTAAATGAATGGCACAAGATGCTAAGAAATTGACTCCAAGTAAAAACAATGTGAAGGACTCAATCAAATTCAATAGAAAACTTATCATGGAGACCACCAATCATACCACATACCAATGAAAGGGAACTTGTCACAACTTGAAGCCGAAAAAGTAATCCTGAAATTAAATTTCCCTCAAATCCAAGCAAGAAAACAGTTTTTTTTTTAAACTAGAATAGAACTAAAAAATGAGAGCTACTCCCCCCCCACTTGTCTCAAGCATTGTTTTCAATGAAAGATTAAGAAACAAGAGAAAGGTGAAGAAGAACTCCCTAAATGCACAGCAAATTAGAATTGAAACATCTTGAAACGTAACCTGCAAAACTAAGAAACAAAGAAAGAAAAGAACAAGATGGGGAGGGGAGGAAAAAACAACAGAATTAAGAAAATGTTTTTTTTGGTTTTTTATTTATTTTTTTTTTATTTTTATTTTATTAAAACTATTACTAGACACAACATGAGCAACGATATTCCCGAAGCTCAAGACACTCAACTTGCTCAACTACATCTTCACTTCTCAAATATTGTTTCACTCGCTGACCGTTCACCTTAAAAACATTCCCAGATTTGGGATTTTCAAGCTCAATCGCTCCATGAGGAAAAACATGGCGAATTAAAAACGGTCCAGTCCACCTGGATTTTAACTTCCCTGGAAAAAGCCTTAAACGTGAGTCATATAACAACACCTCCATCCCAGGTTTTAAATCTCTCCTCAAAATGGATTTATAATGAAAAAGTTTAGTGCGGTCTTTATAAATTTTCGCACTCTCATATGCATCATTCCTAATCTCATCCAGCTCATTCAAATGCAATTTTCTTAACTCACCTGCTTCTTTCAGATCAAAATTCAGCGCCTTGATAGCCCAGTAGGCTCGGTGTTCCAACTCTACAGGCAAATGGCAAGGTTTACCGAAAACTAACCTGTATGGGCTCATTCCAATTGGAGTTTTGTAGGCTGTCCGGTAAGCCCACAATGCATCGTTCAGCCTATTAGCCCAATCCTTGCGTGAAGGATTCACAGTTTTTTCCAAAATACCCTTAATCTGTCTGTTACTCACCTCAACTTGTCCCGAAGTCTGTGGATGGTAAGGTGTTGCAATCCGATGCGTAACACCATACTTTTTCAGCAATCCTGCAAAAAACTTGTTACAAAAGTGGCTACCACCATCACTAATGATAGCCCTCGGTGTCCCAAACCTAGCAAAAATCACTTCTTTCAAAAAATTCAGCACCACTCGACTATTATTAGTTCTAGTGGCAATAGCTTCAATCCATTTAGACACGTAATCAACTGCAACCAGAATAAAATTAAACCCAAAAGAAGTAGGAAACGGGCCCATAAAATCAATACCCCAAACGTCAAACAACTCTACAACCAGATTATTCGTAAGAGGCATCTCATGACGTTTGCTAATATTCCCTACTCTCTGACAACGATCACATTTAGCACAAAAAGAAATTGCATCTTTAAAGAGAGTAGGCCAATAAAAACCAGATTGCAAAACTTTAAATGCAGTCTTTTTTCCACTAAAATGCCCACCACAATTTAAAGTATGGCTATGATGCAAAACACTTTCTTGTTCATGTTCAGGAATGCAGCGCCTTATAGTCTGATCAGGGCAGATTTTAAACAAGTAAGGTTCATCCCAGAAATAATGTTTCACTTTGGAGAGAAAATGTTTTCTACCCTGTGAATTTAAATCGGGATGAAACTTACCAGTAACCAAATAATTAACAAGATCAGCATACCATGGCTCTTTGTTCATCACAGAAAACAAACCTTCATCGGGAAACCTGTCGTTAAGAGGCATCTCTAGCTCTTTCCCAGAATATCCAGTCTGATCAGGGAGGCGTGATAAATGATCAGCCACCACGTTCTCGTTTCCTTTCTTGTCCCTAATAGACAAATCAAACTCTTGCAACAATAAAATCCACCTAATCAACCTAGGTTTAGCATCCTTTTTCAGCAACAAGTACTTCAAAGCAGCATGATCAGAATAAACAATCACCTTAGATCCAATCAAATAAGACCTGAACTTTTCTAATGCAAAGACAACTGATAACAATTCTTTTTCAGTTGTAGAATAGTTAATCTGTGCATTATCTAAAGTTCGACTAGCATAATAAATCACATAAGGCAGCTTGTCAATTCTTTGACCCAAAACAACACCAATTGAAAAATCAGAGGCATCACACATAATCTCAAACGGATATGACCAGTTCGGGGCAGCAAGTATTGGGGCAGAAGTTAATTTTTCTTTCAGCACATTAAAAGCAACAAGACAATCATCATCAAAGCTGAAATTTGCGTCCTTAGCTAACAGATTACATAGAGGTTTACAAATCTTAGAAAAATCTTTAATAAACCTTCTATAAAAACCTGCATGACCAAGGAAACTACGCACTCCTCTAACAGAAGTAGGAGGTGGCAGTTTAGCAATCACATCAATTTTAGCCCTATCAACTTCAATTCCCCTGCTAGAAACCACATGACCCAAAACAATCCCTTCTTTAACCATAAAATTACACTTCTCCCAACTAAGAGTCAAATTCATTTGAACACATCTTTCAAGAACTAGCGACAGATTATGCAAACAATGATCAAAAGAGTCACCAAATAAGGAAAAATCATCCATAAAAACCTCAACAAACTTCTCGATCATATCAGAAAAAATAGACATCATACATCGCTGAAAAGTACCAGGAGCATTACATAATCCAAAGGACATTCTACGAAAAGCGAAAATTCCAAATGGACATGTAAAAGTAGTTTTTTCTTGGTCTTCCGGAGCAACCGGAATCTGATTGTAACCTTGGAAACCATCAAGAAAGCAATAGAACGCATGGCCAGCCAAGCGCTCTAACATTTGATCAATAAAAGGTAAAGGGAAATGATCTTTTTAGTGGCTGCATTTAATTTTCTATAATCAACACACATCTGCCACCCTGTGGTAACCCGTGTGGGTACCAACTCATTTTTCTCATTACTCACGACAGTAATCCCAGACTTCTTAGGCACAACTTGCACAGGACTAACCCATTTACTGTCAGAAATAGGAAAGATAATACCTGCATCAAGCAACTTAAGAACTTCTACTCACACTACCTCTTTCATATTCGGATTCAACCTCCGTTGAGGTTGTCTACATGGATTAGCACCTTCTTCCAGCAAGATTTTATGCATACAAACAGTTGGACTAATTCCTTTCAAATCAGAAATTGCCCAACCAAACGCAGCTTTAAACTTCCTCAACACCTTAAGCAACTGCTCTTCTTGTTCCTGTGTCAAGTCAGATGCAATAATAACAGGAAAAGTACTATCACACCCTAGAAACACATATTTCAGATTAGAGGGGAGGGGTTTCAGTTGCACTTGAGGTGGATTTTCAACATGCTGATTTTTTTCCAGCTCACAATCAACCACTCTTTCCTCACTTTGCACCTCAGTTTTGTCCAAAAAATCTCTCATCTCGCTCACTTTTTCATCATCAAACTCTTGTGCATCAAGAGTCAAAGCAAGCTCAAGCTCATCTTCCTGTAAAATACTCAAAGGAACAATAGAATCAAGCATATCAAGTGCAAAACATGAATCAGAATCTGCCGGCATATTTATGGATTTCAAAATGGAAAACTCAACAGTTTCATCAAGTACACTCATGGTTAATTTTCCATTTTGAACATCAATCATAGTTTTAGTTGTGGCCATAAAAGGTCTACCAAGTAGGATTGACATATCTTTCACATATTTGCACTGATCACTCATATCTAAAACCACAAAATCAGTAGGAATAATCAGCTTATCAACTTGAACTAAAACATCCTCTACAATGCTCCTAGGGTATCTAATAGAGCGGTCAGCAAGCTGTAGGGACATTGTAGTGGTTTTTAGCTCATTCAAACCTAATTTCAAATAAACAGAGTAAGGCATTAAATTAATACTCGCCCCCAAATCAAGCATAGCTTTTTCAGATCTAGAATCCCCTAAAGTAATGGTGATAATAAATGTCAGGGTCTTCTAATTTTGGGGGCAAGTCCTTCTGTAAAACAGCACTAACAGCCTTAGAAACAAAAACTTTTTCATTTGGTTCATACCTACGCCTTCTAGTGTTTAATTCTTTCAAAAATTTAGCGTAGGCAGGCATATTAGTTATCATTTCAAGAAGAGGCAAGTTTACATTAACTTTGGACAACAAATCATAAATCTCATCAAAAGATTTATCAAACTTGGAACTTTTAAACTTGTTTGGAAAAGGAGCCGGTGGCACATATGGTTTAGGCGGAATATACGGATCTTTTGCTTTGTGCAGCCCGGACTCTTCGTACACCGAATCGGCCTCCACTTCTTTCTTCTTTTCAGCTTCTACTTCTTGCTTCTTCTCAGCCTCTACATTCTCCAGTAGCTTGAGAATGGGCTGATCTTCGTTTTTCTGAATTATATTCCCACTCCTAAGAACCGTGACTGCTTTGGCCTCTTCAGATTGAATTGGTAGCTTCCCTTGTACGTGTCCTTGGAGAGATTCTGCAATCTGCCCAACTTGTACTTCTAGCTTCCTCAAAGAGGCATCAGTGCGCTGAAAACGCTGCTCATTAGCTTGCTGGTTGCTGCTACAAATTTGCATAAAGTTCTGCAAAGTGTCCTCCAAAGATGGCTTCTTTGGTTCAGGAGGTGGCTGGTTGCTTTGTTGTGTATTTGACCATGAGAAGTTAGGATGATTCCTCCAACCGGGGTTGTAGGAATTGGAGAATGGATCATTTCTTGGCCTCTGATTGTATGAATTCATCATATTAGCTTGTTCAAGACTAGCCTCAGGCATTTCATTCACTGCAGCGGCAGATTGATTCATCGCCATCATAGAACACATATTCTTCATTTGCTTGGATAGCTCGGATATTTGGATTGTCAATTCTGTACTTGCACCAACTTCGTACATTCCTTGAGTCTTCCCACGAGCGCTCCTCTGTTGGGAGTTAGCTCCAAGCATCTCGTATAGTTCTAAGGTCTGCTCTGCAGTCTTCTCTCCCATTGCTCCACCAGCTGCGTTATCAACGATTGCTTGGCTTCCTTGGGTCAACCCGTCATAGAAAGTCTGATTCTGGAGCGCTAGTGAATAGCCGTGGTGTGGACATTGAGTGAGCAGCATTTTAAATCTCTCCCACGCCTCATGGACATTGAGTGAAATTGGCAATTTTTCTTCTCAGTTCTGAAGTTTTAGACTGAGAATAATACTTGCCAATAAACTTGTTGTAGACATCAGCCCATGTGCGCAACGAACCTGGTGTTAAAGACATAAACCATGTCTTCGCAGCATCTTTTAGAGTGTAAGGAAAGCACCTCATCCTCAGCTCATCTTCAGTCACTCCTTGCAAGGGAAAATTCTGGATGATGCCATAGAAAACTCGGATGAAGATCAGCGCATCCTCAGAAGCAAGCCCATGGAAAGACGGCAATTGGTTAAAGTGAACTGTCTTCAGATCATAATTCCGGGCAGCCTCACTCAGTACAATGCAGGACGGGGAGGCACCAACAGTTGGCCTCCCAAACTCTTTCATCAGTGTAGCGTCACCCATTGTTGAATTAGGAGCAAATTCGAGCCTCCTTTTTGTTCTTTTGCCAATTAAATCTACTTGGTCGTTCAGCGATACAAATCTGGATTAAGAGACCTGCGACCAAGCATACAACAAAAAAAAACGAAAAAAAAAACAAACACAACTAACTAAAATAAAACTAAACTAACAATTTTCCAAAAACTAGTTAAACAAATTCCCCGGCAACAGCGCCAAAAATTGATAGACAATTTATAAGTCCTCGCAAGTGCACGAGTCACAGTAGTACAGTGCTCAAGTAAGGATCGAATCCACGGGGAAAATGCAACTAAGTAATTGGAAAACTATTAATAAAAAAAATAAAAGTGAAATTAATCTAACTAAAAAAAATGAATTTTGAATTTGTTTGATTGGAATCTGAAAATTAAAGCTTGAATTAAAAAGGATGCAAGGAATTTAAATGAATGAAAATAAAGTGATTAAACAACTAACAGAAAAGTGATTGATAATTTAGCAAGAGAAAAGATAGTCCAGGATTATGAATCTGTCACTAATTTTTAGTATTTGTGATTTAGTTAATCAATTGAAATTGAGGATTCGTTCTAGACAAAAATATGACTATTCCGTATGACATCCAGAATAAGTCACGTATTTTAACTATTAATCAATTAGAAATTATTAATCCAATAGTTAAAATCCATTAGTCACAAAAGAACTACGGAAACCCGATTTAAGAACCAAATAGATAACCTAACAAGCAAGTTGAATTATCCATTCTTTTATCCAAAAGAGCTCGAACTAATAGGCATGGCATGTACTCTATTAATCCACTCAAACAACTTAATTAATCATATTAAAGTTGGCCAGAAATTAACATAATCAATTAAGCAAATAAGAACAATGGATAAAACTCAATCAATTGACATAACTAAAATCACAATTCATACTAAATCATAGCAACTTCATCATAATCCGGACTCAGAAAAATTAACTACTCATACTAACGTAAGACATTAATAAAACGAATGGGAACAAGGAGTTCATTTTCACCATCTAAACAAGCAACAATAAGCAATTGTGCCAAAACTAAAGCAATTAAACTAAAACAAGTTTGCGAATGAATTCATGTAAAGAAGTTTTGAACACTAGCTGAATCAAACCGGAACTTTTTCAGAGGAAGAATTTCTGAACTGAATTTCTGATTTTCAAGATCAATAAATCTCCTCCTCTGCATTCCACGGAACTCCAGACAGTCGGATTAGAAGCCTGCTGCGTCGTTGCCTTCTGTCCGGCTTCTTCCTCCTTTTCCAGCTTCGCCGCCAGAATCCTCCTTGGCGTAATGGATGGAGCCGACCCCAAAAATATAGCCGAGACCCCTAAACCCTCTCCAGCTTTTTTTTTCTTGGACTTTTCTTTTCCTCCTCCTTGGATTTGGGTTGTCGTCCGTGACTCAAGAGAAGCAATCCTCTTTTTTTTTAGTGAGCCCTTGGACTTTTTTAGGTCAACTTAGTGATCCATCATTTTATTTATCATCTTCTCAAGTTCAGCCCAAAATATCCTCAAATCTTTAAAATGAAATCCTTACCTGCAAAAATCATTTTTATTATAAAACATAACTCAAACCTCTCAATTAAGCAAATAATAAGCAATGAATTGTGATAAAATAATACAAAAATGAAGTACAAATTCCAGCTCATCAATGAGTCTATGCTTCTTATTATGGTTGGGATTACTATTGATGATAGAAATGATATTATTGTGTCTCATTATTACAAACATATGTATAAGGAGCCTTGCATGACATCAGCTTTAATCGGGGAGGCTTGGATGCAAGAGGTGCTGAATGGTCATTCTATTCGTTGTGTTAATGCCTGTAGGATGTCACCAGATCTATTCGCACGCCTATATAAGGATTTGCAATCAAAATATGATTTAACATCAAGTGACAAAATCACAATGGAAGAAAGAGTAGGTATATTTATATACACTCTAGCTTTGGGCCTTTCAAATCGAGATGTTGCTGAGAGATTCCAAAGATCTGATCTGGAGATACCGTAAGTCGGGCATTTCATGATGTCTTAGAATCCGTCACAGGTAGGAGTAAGGGATATAAGGGACTTGCACGTGATATGATTGCACCAATCGATCGGGCCTTCCCGTATATCCCTTATCATATTTTTAAGGATAAAAGATATATGTCATATTTCAAGGATTGCATCGGGTGTATCGATGGAACACACATAGCTGCATGTATCCCAGTAAAGGAACAACTGTGTTATAGAGGAAGAAAAGGTATCCCGACCTTTAATGTTATGGCTGTGTGTGATTTCAACATGTGTTTTACATTTCTATCAGTAGGGTGGGAGGGATCTGCTCATGATACACGTGTATTCCTTCATGCTATAGAGACACCGTCATTGAACTTTCCACATCCACCTGAAGGTATGTTTTATTGTTAATTCATTAAACTCGTAGGCATAATTTTAATCATATTTTTAAAATTTATGTAGGTAGATATTACTTGGTGGATAAAGGCTATCCGGATCGAAAAGGATATCTTGTTCCTTATCCCAAGCTACGATACCACTTGGAGCAATTTGAAAATGAAGCACCAACAAATGCTCAAGAAGCTTTCAATCGCTCACACTCATCTCTTCGTAGTTGCATAGAGCGTTCTTTTGGGGTTTTGAAAAAGATGTGGAAAATATTATCAAGAATGCCTATGTTTAGCGTTAAAACGCAGATATATGTTATTATCGCAACATTTGCTTTGCATAACTATATTCGCAAATTCTCTAGTGATGACATGATTTTTTAGGTTCTCGAGCTCCATCCAGACTTCATACCACGTGATGATCTTGTTGACATTCAGAGCTCAACTTCAAGTGCCATCCATTCACAAACAGAAAGCTGCACTGAGATGAAGGAACTTCGCAACAATATAGCATCCTTGATATGGACTAAAAGAAAATAAATATTTTCGCTCTTACATATTTATTTATTACAACTATTTCCAACTTAAATGTTAATTTTATGATTATTTATTTTGTATGGTATACACGATTTTTTTAGAATTCAATGCACTATGTTGTGTTTGTGTGTGTGTTGTGTTGTGTTGTGTTATATTATATTACCTCCGTCCCACTAACATTGGGACATGAGAAGATCACACGATTATTAAGAAAAGTGAGTTTATGTAGTTGATATTGCATTTATAAAGTAAGAATAAAGTAAAAATGATTTCGAGTCACACACACAAACTTTACCAAATTTGATATGAGACGATCTTAGTGGGATTTCCCGAAAAAAATGAGACAATCTTAGGGGGACGGATGAAGTATTATATTATATTATATTATATTATATTATATTATATTATATTATATTATATTATATTATATTATATTATATTATATTATATTATATTATATTATATTATATTATATTATATTATATTATATTATATTATATTATATTATATTATATTATATTATATTATATTATATTATATTATATTATATTATATTATATTATATTATATTATATTATATTATATTATATTATATTATATTATATTATATTATATTATATTATATTATATTATATTATATTATATTATATTATATTATATTATATTATATTATATTATATTATATTATTGTGCCAAACATAGCCTATATGTCCTTTTATGTAATTTCATATTATCCCTGCACTTGTTCAGCTCTTTTTACCAAACGGGTTTACTCCATTCAGCTAGCAATTCAGATTCAGCACTTTCAAATTCAGTTCCAGACAATAGTTTTTGTTTCAGACAATAGACCCTATTTCAGACATTAGCATCCAGTTCCAGCTTGTTGTGCCAAACATAACCTAATCCTGCTGAAATTTATGAACTTTTGGCTCAAGTGGTTGGATTGGTTGTATTGCTGATTTATGAAAAATTTATATTTAGAATATATTGTATTAATAAAATAAAGAAAAAATTATATAAAAAATAGCTAAAATGACCCTCTATAGTAATTTCAACCAATACAGACAAAAAAGTAATGTAAACCTTACTTTTTCTTATTATTACACAATTCAGTGGTAAGTCTGATAAGGAGAAAAACAGGATGACCAAACGACTCTTCAATATATTACAAAATATTTAAATATACATATTCACTCTAAATGGAGTGATTTTATTCTTTGGATATTTTTACTTGGACTGTAATTTGCTGGTCTGGTCTGGTCTGGAGTGATTTTATTCTTTGTAGCTTATTTGGAAATTGATACTTCATAATATATGTAAACACTATTAATTGCAATTAATGACTATTTACTAATTGATCTCAATAGCAATTATTTGATAATTTAATTTCAATGTAGAAGGTTCTAGTAAGTAGATACGTAGTATATGACATAATTCTTATGATCTATTTGGTAATGCATGACAAATTTTCCATATTCATACTGCGTACTATCCTCCGTTCCATAAAAGTTGCAACAGTTTGACTTTCACGCTTGCCAACGCACAACTTTGACTGTGATTATATTTATTTACGTATTAGTAAACATTAAAAAAACTTAATATATTGAAAATTTACATTAATACAAATTTATTAATATTTTATACATAATATTTTTATTATATATATTAATAGAAAATTGTAGTCAAAGTAATGTGTGTGAATAGTGCAGAAATTGCAATGTTGCAACTTTTATGGAACGGAGGAAGTATTTACTACGGAGTTCTACATAAAAGACCGGACTATATGTACCATATTTATATTCTCTTGGGACAAATAAAAAAGACATTGTCGCCTCTGTTTATTACTCCCTAATTTCCCCGAGACAAAATAAAACCAGCTGCTTCTACGCCAGAGAAGATAATATAGAGTGGATCCATCAAAATGAGAAAATCCATAAACGTTACCAATTTCGTGTCTGTCTTCGATGTGCTTCTTCTTCTTCTTCTTCACGTATCATCTTCTAATGCCGTTCCTGCTGGTAGCCGTAGCCCAGCGAGTTCCTCCAGCGGCGGTGGCCCGAAATGGCTTAAGATTATTCTTTGCACTGTTTTTGGAGTGGTTGTTGTCGTCGTTGTTACTTATTTGCTGTATTGTAAGTGCCGCAAGCGTAGTAGCTTAGGTAGGTAATCGCATTAGAGGGGCATAACTCACTTTGTAAAAGAAGGGTACTAGTGGAAAGGTCTCGGGTTCAATTCAAGAAAAGACTTTGCAATGGAATCTCACTCTCGTTCCATCCTTGTGTAGATCATCCGGACGGTTTCAAAAAAAAATCAAAAAAAATAAATAAAATTCACCGCCGCCTCTGCACCACCACCTTCAGTCATCAGGGGAAAAAATGTCAAGTTCATTACAAATGACATATTTATGGCAGAAAATAATTAAAATTTTGGCATTCTATCTCAAAGAAAAATATGCAATGTTTTTGGCATTTTCAGAAAAAAAATGACAGTTTTTAGGAAAAATAACATTTTTTTCACCGCCGGAGATGGTAGTGCAGGGAGGTAGTACAGGCGGTGGGAAAGACATCCATATTTTTTTAAATTTTTTATGGAGTTTTACTGTTTTTATTAATTTTTTAAAAAATTAAAATTAAAAAAAAAATTAATTTTATAAATATTTATAAATTTTTTAATTATTTTTCTACGAATTTTTGAATTTTTTCAAATTTATTATGAATTAAACATTTAATGAACTCATATTTAAAGGAAGAGTAAGAATGAAATGAAAAAACAGGTATGTTTCCGATAGAACTAATATGGTCCTATTTTCAAAAGAAAAACATAGTAAGTCCTACTTTGAGTTTTTGTCATAGTTTTAGTTCTATTTGGAGTATAATTTCTATAGAATAAAAGTAAAAAACAACTTTTATTAATAACGAAAATAGCCTAGGAGACAAGTACATTAATTAACGCTGTTTTTGCATGTGATTTGTGTTATGTCATTTATCGCCAAGATTTTCAAAAAGAAAACTTTAAAAAGGAAAAGATCAAGTTATATATATAATCTTTTGCGGTTCCTATTAATAGGTACGAGAAAATAAATAATTTTCCTTCATCTTCGAACAAAAGAATAAATAATCTAAGCTAAGCATTAAAACTTCTAAAAGACGCCCTGTTTAAGATCCAATTTTTCCAGCATCTTTTTTAATACGTTCTTGACTTTGGGCAAAAGACCAATAAGATGTGAGAAGCAATTAAAACATAATTTCCGTCGTAACATAATAATTAAAGCTGCATTATATTTGAGGCTTTGAGCATCGGTCATTGTTTTCTTTCTTTTGCAGATGAAGTAAAACATACGGCGGCTAGCTAAGTACGGCTATACCATAGTTTGGAGCACTTTATTACTTGACTTAAACATTGGTATGGTAGGCTTTCTATTTAAATCGTAATATCACCTGCCAGAGAGTTAGTAGAACGTAAATAACGATCGAGAATTAGCAAGATGAGTAGAATATCAAAATGCTTTGTGTTTCTTCTCTTCCTCGGCCTCCTCGACCTTCATGTATCGTCATCCCGCGATGCTGTTGTTGCTGTTGCTGCTGCTGCTGGACGAAGACATTTGCTCGATAAAGAGAGTAAATCACGTCTGCGATTTACTCTTGTTGTATCTGCTATTATATTTATTTTTTCTC